CAGGATCTGTAGCATCTCTGACATTTCCAGGGAACACAAATACCAGCGTTTTTCTAAATGTTAATGGGTTTCTGTGCCCTCTGCTGGATGCTCGCGTCGTCAGGGCGGCCCTGCGGAGGCCGAGCTGAGCGGCTGGAATTTTCCTCTCATCTCAGAGCCTTTTTTTCTTTTTTTTTTTTGCCTCTCTCTCTCTCTCTCTCTCTCCTGCGGAACTGGCCACGCAGTTTTCAATTCAGAACGACTTTCTAGAAGTTGCTGAGGAAGCCCTGTACTTAATACCAAAATCAGCAAGTTTCAGGGCAATTATAATCTCCCACTTTGGGAATTATTAGTTCTGGATGGAGACTCTTACTGTATCAGGTTTGCGGAAAATTTATGAGGCTATCTGGAAACCGGGAGCGTATTGATTCCCGGTGAGTAAACATTTTAAGCAAATTAAGTGCTGGTGGTAATAATAATACTAATTGCCACTATTTTTCAAGTGTCTGCTCTGTGCCAGGCATTTAATCCCTCCAGTGATGACAGGGGCAGATTTTATTACCCAAATGTTACCGACGAAGACGCTGAGGCTCAGAGAGGGGCAATTGCTTGGCCCCGGGACACGCAGCCAGTGGCGGGGGAAAGTTCTAGACCGGACCCGCCAGGCTGTGAGCCCAGCCGGCCACACGGACAAGGCTCCGGGCCCTGAGCGCACGGCTCACATCGGTCCCCTCATCTGAAAAACACAGCCAGGTTAGGATGGAGACAGTAGGGGCCTGTGACGGACAAAGAAAGCGGAGGCCTTGGGGAGGTGACAGTTTGCACCGAGGTCACACAGTAGTTAGGAGCGGAGAGAGGAATAGAATCCCAACTCACAAATATCCTGAAGACAAGCCCATGGCTTTCAATCCTAGCAAAATCTTCTGGCCTGCAGAAGCCTGCCCTTTGTGTGCATTTTTAAAGGGGAGATGAGTGGGGCGCCTGGGTGGCTCAGTCGGTTGAGCATCTGACTTCAGCTCAGGTCATGATCTCGTGGTTCGTGAGTTCGAGCCCCGTGTGGGGCTCTGTGCTGACAGCTCAGAGCCTGGAACCTTCTTCAGATTCTGTGTCTCCCTCTCTTTCCCTGTCCCTCCCTGCTCATGCTCTGTCTCTCTCTCTCTCTCTCTCAAAAATAAATAAACATTGAAAAATTTTTTTTAAAAAGTCATTTGGGGCACCTGGGTGGCTCACTCAGTTGAACATCTGACTTCGGCTCAGGTCATGATCTCGCAGTTAGTGAGTTCGAGCCCCACGTCGGGCTCTGTGCTGACAGCTCGGAACCTGGAACCTGCTTCGGATTCTGTGTCCCCCTCTCTCTCTGTTTCCCCACCCCTACTCATGCTCTCTCTCTCTTTCTCTCTCTCTCTCTGAAATAAACAAACATAAAAAGGGGGGATTAGCAAGGCTCAGAAAAGCTCACTAACACCAAACACACTTTCTCCTTGTTGGAATCAGGACTCGGAGTAATTTGCACAGGGAATCACGTTTTCAGCCTGTGTCTCAGTGTCGCTCAATGCAGTGTCAGGGCCATCGGGAAAGTCCCCCACGTTGCCACCAGGGGGAATGTCCTTCCGCCTTTCCGGGGAGCTCTGGTTGCTGAATACTCCTCAGGCCAGGAGGCATCCAGGGCTGAGATGCATGGAAGATTCAACGGCAAGGGAGAGACCCGGGCAGTGGCCGATCAAGGCGCCCACATCCGGGTTCTGGAGGATGCTGGAGACCAGGCCATTAGAGCAGATGTAGAGTAAAGTTCAGCACCTCTGTTCAGCTGCTTCTGAGACAACGGGAGCACAGCAGGGTGAACCAGAGGCTGGATGGCTAGGAGGCTGGGTCATCCCGGCCAGGCCTGGGCAGGATGCTCGAGTTATCCTCTGAGCCCCCATGATGTGTGGGATCTCTTTCTGGGTTGTACTGCATTGACTTCCAGAAAAGATTTGAGGCAATTTACAAGTGAACGTGTGTCCAAGAAAGGGCAATTCATTATCACTCGTTCAGGGCAGGGGAGAAGGTAGGAGGAGGGGCAGGCGAGGAGACTGGAAACGTAGGGCTGGCCCCGCTGGCATTTTCTGCTTCTAATGAGTCGTGCATTTCTCCAGAGGGCTCCCCAGCCTGGACTGGTTTCCAGGCTGACGCGAGGGAGAATGACAAGGGGAGTGTAACTGGATATTATACTCACAAGACTAACCAGAGCTCCTTTCCAAGAGGTCCCCATCCTTCGACACTCAAGGGAGGTCCACCTGGGCGATCACAGACCACAGTTCCTTCACCGCTGAGGACCATCCCCCAGTCCCCTGGGCCAAAGAGGATTTCAGGGTCCCACAAAAAAGCTTGAAATCTACCCCACAAAACAATTTTTTTCTGTTAGTTCCTAAGTATGACCAAAAAAAAAAAAAAAAAAATCAAAGGCTCAATGAAATACCTACAAAATATAACACAATTGTGACCAATCTCTTCTATGGCTATGAACATATTTTATTCAATGGGTGATACAGGCTTGTTTGGATATAAGAGGCCGTACGCTAAGAATGTCTAAGGGGCGCCTGGGTGGCTCAGTCGGTTGACCGTCCGACTTTGGCTCGGGTCATGGTCTCACAGTTCGTGAGTTCGATCCCCACGTCGGGCTCCGTGTTGCCAGCTCGGAGCCTGGAGCCTGCTTCGGATTCTGTGTCTCCCTCTCTCCCTGCCCCTCCCCTGCTCTCTCTCTCTCTCCCAAAAATAAGTAAACATTAAAAGACTTTTTTTAAAGATTGCCTAAAATGAAGGCCCCTGGGACATGTGTGAGCGTACAGATGACCCCTGCCACAGACGGAGCAGAACGTTAACCACGGAGTTTGGAACTTGCCCCTTTTCTGGCCACGTGTTTAGTTGAATTGGGGGCATATGAAGATACAGGGCCTGCCTCCAAAGTTTTGGGGACAAGTGTCAGGCAGTTGGCTCTGCTAACAACAAAGACAGCAAAACAAAGCCGCTGGCAAACACATCACTTTGAGTAATGCCACTTGTTACGTTAAAAGGGTCCCCAAGTCGCCCCGCCAACACCTCATTAGCTAAATGAATGGACCCATTGGATGGGGTTATTTAATATGTGTCTACTGGCTTTGGAGAATGTCTGCCAGAAACAAGATCTCAGTTTTGACATAGTTGATGCTGAGCTGTATTTTTTTTTTTTTT